AAAAAATAATATAAATGATAATAATAAATGGCGACAGGCATGAACCATATTCTTAAATACTTGAACGGCATCCAGCGCTTTACCTGCGCCAACCTTCTAAGTTTAATCAATGATAATAATTATACGAATAAAACCGAGTCTGATATTCCATTCCGGCACTCTTCACCTATGATCATGAATTTTCCATTACTTTCCAAGGTAAGAGTAGGGTGATCACACTGCCTGTGCACACAGTCTGTCCCATGCAGGCACAACAGCAGTCAGTTGGTAGAAATAGCAATTTTCGTAAATTTATTAAAAAAAAACTGAACAATATTTTTACATTTTTATTTCATTGTTATAGGCATGTGGGAAATATGTTAAATTATTAATTAGAATATTGTCTTTTCAGCCATGTGTGACGTGGCCCGCTGATCGCCCATTGACTGTTATTCTGCGTGGTGAAAATGCACTTCAATGTATAAAACTCCCCTACAAAAATACAATATCCTCATATGTTTCACTCTTTAAATCAATTTGTTATTTACACTCAAGGTAGCCACAACTGTATTAGGATCACCGAACTTTTTTTTTTTTAATTCAGTGTCTGTGGAATGTTATGGCCTGTTGAATTGAATGGTTTCTCGGAAAATCGTCATAAATCCTCAAATCTGACATTTTTAAAAAGAAACTGTGATGTAGCTGAAAGTCTGCAAATTCTAATCATTTGTTCGGTTTTTCTAAATAATTTGTGAAACATAATGAGGAAATAGCTGTAACGGTGATCCAAGTAATTTCCATCGCCATATTTTATTGGCATTGCAAAAATATTTGGAATTTAATGTTAATATTTGGTGTAAATATGATCTATAAAATATATGATTTTTAAAAAATGCCGACAAAATAAACAGTTTGACTTTCCTATATACATAATTAGCTGAAATGACCTAATTTGCATAATTGATGAATATTCATTTTTTTTTTTCAAAAAAAAAAAAAAAAAATCCATACCTGTCTGATATACATAGGTTTCATTGATGTATCATGTTCGGTTTTGATTTGATTACATTATGCGCATATTAATTCGACGGACTTAGTTATTTTCACAACTTTTTCACATCTGCAGATTCCCCAAAATGGCAAAAAATGACTTATTTTGTTTGCTTCTGTTTTCAAAACGGTAATAGATATATGAATTTTCTTTTTTGTATTTTTTACCACAAAGATGATATTTTAGTGTCTGATAATTTAATTTATTATTTGCGCCCAAGAAAATGATGAATTAAGTTGTCAACTTTGTCGAATTTTGCCATTTTTGCCAATTTTGCCAATTTGACCATTTCTGGCAGGTTTTTCGGTAATTTTGCGATATCAAAGAAATGGTATAAAATCACAACGCATTGACCGATTTCAATTCTGTTTTTTGTTTTTTGAAGCTTTCATGAAGCTTGACCATTTGCAATCATCAAATAACATGTGTTTGTTGTACTTATTTTTGGTGTGTAATACCTAGTAAGAGTGATTTCCTCATGCCCTTTCTCAAGTTATGGTTTGCGCTTGTAAAAACAAGTCTTTCCACATAGAGAATTCATTGAAGGGAATAGAACAATTTATGTGACAACTATGTGCATTTATATAGAAAAAACAGTGCTATTCTTTTTTGCGATCAATTAATAGGTATAAAGCACGAAGGCAATACCAGTGTATCGTTTCTTAACGGTTAACCCATTTCTTTTGTTCTCACTTTCTAAATTTGAAGGGAACCAAAAACTTCATACTAACTTACTTTTATTGTAAAGTTTAAGATATTTGAATAAAATCAGTGAACATCTGAACAAAATCGGGCAAGGAATAAGGAAGTTAAAGCTTTTTTGAAATGACTAGTCACTAGAGGGCGATATTCAATTTGATGCGTCATTTTGTGGACAACTTTCCATGCCTGTTGTACTTCAAATTTCACAATTCTTTCGTTTTCTTCGTATTTATTTGTGTTCTTGATCCGACTTCATAACATTTGAAGTAGAATATCATTTTGCATTCTATACCTTGCTTTCAGGGGAGTCGATTATCTCAATAAACAAGAAAGAAGGAAAAACATGAAATTTGAAGTGCAAAAGGCATGGAGAGTTGTCCACAAATGACGCATCAAATTGAACATCGCCCTCTAGTGACTATTCATTTCAAAAAGCTTTAACTTCCTTATTCCTTTCCCGATTTTGTTCAAATTTTCACTGATTTTATTCAAATATATTAAACTTTACAATAAAAGTAACTTAGTATAAAGGTTTTGGTTTCCTTTAAGTGTTGTAACTCTCATTCTTCCCTCTCTTGTGATAAAGATATTATAATTCTACTTTTGTAAATTCGGTAAGTTTTATTTCTAGATAATGTGCTAACAAAGGGAAAACCAACCTGTTGATACTGGGTTTCATCTACTTTGTTAAAAAGGTTGGTATTTTCCTAAATTCTGTAAATGTGTAGATAGATAGAAATAAAGAAGAGAGAGAGAAAGAGAGAGAGAGAAAAAAGAGAGAGAGAGAGGAAGAATACTTCAACTCGCGTGTCATGCTGGAGCTGATATTTAGTGCGTTCCATAAAGAAATAACCCAGAAAACAAACGGATATTGTGAACAGACTATATTATGAGCTGTATAAAATATGATTCCTTGCTTTTCATAAAGTAGAAGTAATATGCTTTCAAAATTTGACTATACATTGATTGCATTAATCTATAGCCTACACACTTCACTGAGCATCATTGTTTTCAAAATGGAAAGTATAAATCCATTTTTGCCAGATTTGGGTAAAACAGTGAACATGGTTGGAAACTTTAGTTTCACGAGAGATCACAATGCATGTGCAATTAGACCATAGAGGTGAAAGAAAGGAGTGGAATCAAGCCTCTTTTCTTTGACCCCATGCTCCAAGCCGCCGAAAGTTATGCGCTAATCTGCAACATTGTTGACCAGGTGGTGAAATAAAAGAGCGCATGAAATTTTAGATTTAAAATCCCTACATCAGAAAATGGTATCCCAGCAACTGTTAGCTGTCCCTTTCAATGATTTCTCATCAGTTGTCGAATGTGTAATGAGTAGAACAAGCGAACACAATCTTGTGTAATTTCATCCTTTTTTCCAACTGCTAAAAATACAACAACAACAAACACGCAAAAACACGCATTAGCAAACTTGGTCTTATCGAAGATTTTAAATCATGGATTAAAATAACGGGACATTAAAACGTGCACAAATTAGCGCAGTGTATTGTGTTTTTGTCAGGATTTAATTTTTCTTTTACCAACCCTGGCACACAAATTATAGGGAAGGGCGGAGTACTAAATTTGAAAAATTGTTTGTTTCACTATTCACAATACAATCGCCATACAAAGTTTATAATTTACACTGACGTTTAGCCGGTAATTTAATATGTTGTAAATGTGAAACTGGTACCCCCCCCCACCCACTCCGTGAACGGAGGGATACCATGCGTGTTCCCAAACTCTCCGGCTCGTAACAAAAGAAAAAGGTCTACCCGTATTGACTTTACACACCGGACTTTTGCTGAAAGGGGGGGGGGGGGGGGGGGGGGAGAGACGGTGCTGAAAAAGGCTCGTGTTACAAAGGAAAAAGGTCGACCCGTACTGACTTTACACACCAGACTTTTGCTGAAAGGGGGGGGGGGGGGCCCTGGGAACACACATATGCGTACCCTAAATAACACTGAGTGGGGGGGGGGGGGGGTGCCTGAAAAAGACTCGTATTACAAAGGAAAAGGTCGACCCGTACTGACTTTACACACCAGACTTTTGCTGAAAGGGGGGGGGGGGGGGGGCTGGGAACACACATATGCGTACCCTAAATAACACTGAGTGGGGGGGGGGGGGGGGGTGCCTGGCCTCCGAAATTTCCCGCAGTGGAAGCGCCGTTCGGAGCATGGAACTTCAAAGCAAACTGAAATGTTACACATCCCATTGTTACGCTTTAGAACTGACGAATGCGTTTAAATGAATTACAAGAGTTTCCACTCCTTTCTTTCACCTCCCTGGTTAGACCCTACTTAATGGGTGTTTACTTACTTTGGTGGACCGATCCGAGAGAGAAGATTTTCTAGATTAGCTTTATATTATGCTTCACCAACTTTGATTAATAGATCTATCCATTCAGAAAATCAGTTCATTCACCAGTGGCGTAATGATATGTCGCAATGCGCAACAGTGATCTGTCTCCAATCTATGATTGATCATAGGGAATATTTATTTGTCTTTTTGAGTGCATCTATATTCCACTAATTTACTCTACGTCTTTCCTCTACCACCTCTTCCCCCTCTCTCTCTCTTCCTAATTGTCCTCAACCTTTTCTCATTGTTCTCTCAAAAATGTTTTTAACATAAAAATGCAGGTAACTTTTTAGATCTAATTCATCAAGTTAACGTCCTTAACATTAAAAAGTACACTAACCATGCTTCTGAAAGCCCTGGAAAGATGTTCTGAGTATTACCATGATTACGTGGCGAACTATTTTTGCACTTCCCACAAACTTTTTGTTGGCATCTTTACCGTTATTGTTAGACCGGAATATATGACGATTATTTACTAAAACTAAACGAGCAAAAAAAGAGGAAATAATAAGGAAAAGTCTTGATAAATGTTACAGCTACAACGGGGAGTAACTATTCATAAATGAATGATAAATGAATGATACAAGTCAATAGAACTAAAATAACAACAACAACAACAATGAGTGGCGTGTGCCTGAAATCTAGCTAACAATGGAAGTTACAAACAGATGCAGCCGAGGATGCAGGTTCGAAACTGAGTCACGTCTTTTGGATGGTGACGTTAAAGGTCGGTCCCTAGACGTAAATAATCATATCCACACATTACACACACACACACATTCTTTGGCGTAAATATTTACTACAGACTTATACCATGGAACTACATGCTTACTCGCCGCTAAAACTAAAATCAACACCAACATTCCTAGCATGTGGTCAAGTGTTTTATTTCGGGAGTTTTCACTCTTCGCTGAATTGTATTCTTTGTCAGCACTCCACCCTTGCCACTCCTTGAAAGCAAGTCGACCAGAAGAGAGGTATAGCTACCTGAGATCCAGAGAAATTTGCTTCTATCTTCAATTTTGCCGGATCTATCCCAATTTCTAAAGATGGTAAGTTGTTAAAATAATTATGATTTAATTTGATTTACCTTCCTGAAATGTGTTGCTGTCGTTTATAGTTCTTAAATAATTTGGAGGTACATTGTGTATTAATACACCTGATATCAAATACCTTTCAGGCATATTTCTGCCCCGAAACCCTGGTCATTCTATTCACATACTGTCATAGGCGTAGCCAGGGGGGGGGGGCACAAGCGGGCCATGCATGTCCCCCTATTCAGCCCCTAAAAAACAAAACATGCAGTACCTCAAGCTTCATAAATATGAATTGTTTTCACCCCCGGACTCTTAATTACGCGCGTTCGTGTCACTTGACCAGGCCGGAGCATGCATGCACTGGCGTACTGATGGAGGAGGGGGAACAATTGCCCCCTCCAAATTAATACTCTAACGTGGTTTATTTCTAATTCAATACCAGTGATTTACAAACGATGCTGAAATGACATAATTTTCCGGGATTTTTCCTCGCTTTTTAGTAAATTAAACTTTTTTTAATGCATTATGTTGGTAAACGACAAATTACCAAATTTACAGTCAGGCAGGAAATATGCTTTAATATTTAGAGGCCTACATGCTTTTGGGGGCGGAGCCCACGCCAATTAGTGTCCTGTTAGTGTCACAAATAAGGTATCAAAATATGCTCATTTGACTGTAATTAAACGCCTAAAACCCCTGAGCTTCCGGGGGCTCTGGCCCCTGGCCCCATGCCAATTAGTGACCTCCCAGTGTTACAAATAGATATCAAAATATGCTTATCGGACCGTAATTAAAAAGTTTTTTCCTCCATTATCGTGTAAGATTTATCTTAGATTTTCCTTTCCAATCCATCCGGTGCTGCTATATTGTCGTCTACTCAGGCCTGATAATTTCCCGAATTTGTTTGTTTGACTTTAAAAAAAATGATGTGATGATTTTTTATCCTTTCAAAAACGGAGAGTCCCTGAGATCGATATAAACTCCAGTTTTTTTTTTTTTTTTTTTGGGGGGGGGGGGGGGGGAAGGGGGTGAAGCGCCATTTGTACATGACATGCTTGAACAGATCGCGCAAGCGCTCGATTTATAAAACTTCTTTGTTGTTGCTTTCTATGTAGTAATTGATAATGCATGATTAAAAGAAATAGAGAGAGGGAGAGAGAACCACCATCATGCAATGGTTCAGGTTTGTGTAATGTACATTTGAAACAATTTCTTAGCGTCTCAACCCTTACAAAATAACGCAACTATTTTTTAGGACAAGCATTATACTGATTCTGGCTAAAGAAAATGTGGTATCGGCAAAGTATTGAATCTATAAGATCGGGTATTTTTTAAAGAGGTATTCCCAAATGACATTCTAATAAACAAATGGGCTGTTCTGTATTCATAATTATATACGACTTTAATATACAACTGATATTTATGATTCCTTAACGTGACATACCTTCTTCTCCCCCTGTAAACGAAAAAGAAAACAAGGTTATTGAAAGGATCATGCGACAAATAATCATTGTGATTTAAATTGATGCAAATTTTTTTTTTGAAGAAGCACTGCTTTTCACCAGAATCTTCTTTGTAAAAACAACTTTTACAAATCTCAGCCATGCTTACTGAGTTGTGACATTCCATTCAATTTGAAATACTCTTTAAAGAATACACTTCTCCTAATCTGAAGGTAATCTTACAGCACAGTGGCAGAATTGCACAATGCCCTTTGATTAATATACGATACACAGGCCGAGGGGGCGGCGAACCGTGGGGGGGGGGGGGCACGTCCCCCCTCATTTTTTTTTAGGGGGATCTTCCCCCCGGAAAATTTGAAAAAGTGCACAAAAAAAGTGTATAGCAAATACTGACTAAAGACTGCAGCACACCTTTAGGCTCTGGAGGGCCCAAGAGTACAGCGTTTAGACTAATAACAATGCCCAAATCTTCTCGCTCGGTCGCTAATCTCCCTCACATATCGTCGGCCTTCATGCCAAAAGGGCCTTAACTGCTTTTGGCCATTCCGAGATAATCGCGTTTGAAGTTTTGGCCTCTCTAATAATCAAAAGTTTGTGGTCGTTTTTGTTGTTTCTGAAGTCAATATCGATAAATATGTTAAGTTATTAAGTTTTACATGAAATGTGTTAAATTTGTTTTAAAATATACAGAAGTTTTCATGCTATGTGTAAAAAACATGTTAGGGGCTTTTTGGCATATGGCTTGAGAGTAGCGTATTTATGCCAGAAGGACCGTAACCTACGCGGCATAATGCCAAAAGGGCCGTAACCTCCCACGTAACCCACGCGGCGTTCTGCCAAAAGGGCCTTAACCTGCGGTTATCGTACGCTCGCGTAGTTAGCGCCCTTCTGGCATAAAGACATTTTCTTGTTTCGCCACACCTTCGGTTTGCCAGAAAGCCCCTGCTACGGCTACTTAATCACGAAAACTGATAAAAACTGATTAATTACAATTTTAGAAAAGGTATTTTTGATATCTGAATATTTTTATTAATATAATGCAGCTTTCGGTGAAGTTATTTTTTAGAGATCGTACATTTAGGACACCTTTTTCGTTGTTTATTTTCATTACAGTCCCATCCGTTGACATCTGCGTATTTCATGAGTCAGTTGCATTTCATGCATCCACATCTAACTTAAATCTCACTCAGAATTCATGATCTAAATTCATGTCATATACTTTAAGTGATTATTCTAAGTACATTGTGTCTATTGTAGACTAATCATGTTTTAAAGGTGTTTCTACTGATATTTATTGAATTAAATGGAAATTACGAAATAATCTGTCATTGATAAAAAAAAAAAAAATTGCCGTGTAGGTTGAGGCCCTTCTGGAGTAAGGAAAAAGATGAGATACGCGTTAAGGGCCTTTTGAAATTCATAATTATCTTCATAAATAAATCGAATTTCAACAAGTGAAGCACATCATTTTAAAGAGAATGATGGAATCTACAAGGTGATGTTAATAACTCAATTACCCCCAAAATCGGGTTAAGGCCCTTTTGGCATAATTATTATTATTATTATTACCCTTGTCATACAACTGTGACCCATTAACGCTTTCAAGTTGAGTAAACAATTAACATAGAATATCAACTCCGCTGTATTTACTACACTGTCTTCTGACCATTTCGATTTATTTCCAAAAACAAGCTTCTTATTGACGTATCTTAAGTTTTGTTGAGTAGTATTTCTATTTTAAATGCATGTGTTGATGCATTCTTGTTTTCAATCTTATATTTATTCTTGCATTTACTGTTAAATTATATATATTTTAATAGTTATTATCAAGTTTTTTAAAATTATATCTATCGGTTAATGGTAAAGCTGTTCCCTTGTGTTAGTTGCTTTAAAACTGTAAACAATAACCAGAGGGCATTACAATGTACAAATTGCAATAAATGGGTCCACATAAGTTGTACTGATATCGGTATTAAATCGTCTGATGATCCAACCCAACATTTCTTTAATTGGCAATGTTCGAAATGTCTTATTAGATACTTACCCTTTCCTGATCTTAACTATGATTTTATAATTATTGATGATCAAGGTGATACGAATGACTGTAATCCAAAACGTTTGATGGAAACAACAAATCTTTCATATATTGATTGTTGAAAAGAGAAGGCCTCAAATTTGCACATCTAAATATTCGTAGCCTTCTCCGTAATATGGATGAAATCAAATCATTTTTACAGAGTAATGAAATTCATATTCTAGCATTAAATGAAACTCTTTTGGATGAACCTGTTTTCGACAGTGAACTTAATATCGATCATTTGAACCTTATTCGTAAAGATAGAAACAGACACGGTGGTGGAGGGGCAGTGTATATACAAAGTTCGTTGTCTTTTGAAGTTATCAAATGTGACGTATCAAATTCCTTAGAAATTATACCACTTCTGATTCGACCAAAATTTCCAAATCCAATAATATTTCTTACGTGGTATACACCGCCAAATAGCAATGTTCAATTATTTCAACAGTATGACCATTTATTATCATTCATTGATAATTTTAATTACTCTATTGTTAAGGAGGACACAAATTGTGATTTATTAAAAATAACAGGGTCCTCTGATTTAAAACGTCTGGATGAAACACATAACTTATATTCACTGCAACAGATTAACAAAACATACTATACTAGGAGTACAGCCAACTCAATGACACTCATTGATGATTGATCATATGTTAACAAACTCAACAGAGAAAATAAAAACACACGGTGTTATACATGTTGAAATGAGTGATCATTTTTTGAGGTACTTAATATGGAAGTCGAAAAATGAAAACTCCTCCCGAGTAATTAATTATCGAAAATTATCTGATATAAATATAGAATCATATTTAGAAGATTTAGGTACTCAGCCATGGCATGAAATCCTTGATTGTACCTGTGTCAGTGAAGCAGTCAATAAATGGGAAAGTTTTCTTATGAATGTTGTTAATCTTCATATGCCTATCAGAAGCAAGACAATTAGGAATAAGAAGTCCCCATGGATGAATTCAGATATGTTCAAATTGATCAGAGAAAGGGATAAATCAAAACAAAAAGCTTGGAAAAATAAAGATGAGAAAAAGATGAAAGAATACAGAAAATTAAGAAACAAAGTTACTTTTGAAATTAGGAAAAGAAAGAAGAAATATCACTCTGAACAATTATTAAAATTCAAAGTAAATGCTGGTAGCACCTGGAAGGTGTTAAAATCATTATTACCTTGTAATAATAGTAACACAAATATTTTTTCAAACCGATAAAGAAAAATTGTTTGAAAAAAGTGAAAATTTTAATGAATACTTTGGAAAACTTTTAGCATCTACAATTCAAATCACACATAGATCTGTTCTTGATCAAGAGTATCATAGTGTATTTGCTTTTAATTTTGGAGTAATATCAGAAGAATTTTTTTTGAAAGATATTAAACTATTGAAAAATAAATCTTCATGTGGAATTGAAGGAATCTCTGCACAGCTATTGAAGTTGTCGGCTCCTGTTACATTCCATCTCTAACATATTTGTTTAATAAATCACTACTAGACTGTGTTTATCCTAACCAATTTAAAACTGCTAAAGTGATACCATTATTTAAATCAGGAAACGAAGATGATCCTTCTAATTTTAGACCCATATCCACTTTGCCATCCGTCTCAAAAATTCTGGAAAGACTAGTATGCAATCAATTGAAATCGTATATAAAGGAAAACAATATACTCTGCGTCGAGCAATTGGGTTTCAGGCAAAAGCATTCGACTGTAACCATCTTTATTGAAAGTCACCGATGATTGGTTGCAAGCATTGGATGGAAGCCTTTATACTGGTGCTGTGTTTATCGTTTGAAACTGTGGACGTTCAAATACTTGTCAAAAACTTAACGTTAACTATTAAGCTATCAAACAGCTTAAAAACCTTTTGCAAAAATCTAAATTTAAGAAATCAGTTTTGCTCTGATCTGCAGGGCCGTAGCCATAGTTTGATGTTTGGGGTGGGGGGGGGGGGGGCACATACATGTAAGCGATCGACGTCCTGGGGAGGGGTCTAAAAAAGTTCAACCGATCTTGGAAATTCTTGGGGGGCACGTGCCCCCCGTGCCCCCCCCCCCCCCCGTGGCTACGTGCCTGGTGATCTGTAATGGAACATGCTTGGGATTAGGGGGGGGGGGAGGGGGGGTGTTTATGTTTCTCTAATATGTTTCAGGCTTTATATGTATTCAAATTATATTATTCTATGTTGTATTGTATGTTGTATAATTACTGTTGATATCTTAATTCCTAGACCCCAGGGAAGAACAGTTTTGTTACACTAACAAAGCTAAATGGGTTATCCAGCCATTCACACCATTGATTTTACTGTGTACATGCATTTTCTTTGTATTGTTTTTAATATTGTGATATGGAAAATAAATACCAATACCAATACTAATACCAAAGCAATATTTCATTCAAATGAGACTTGCTAAAGATTAGATCTCTACATCTTTTCCTCTCACATATTTCTAAAGTTTGTGGCAGATTTGCTTTGTAGAGCAATATATTTAAGAAAATGTCGCGGAACGTCCTGGACGTAATTGCGTCCAGCAGGACGCAACAAAAATTCCCAGCTTGTTATCCGGAAGCTGGAGAAGAATCATTTTCGCAGCGTATACTGGTTATAATTTCAATGATTTACACATCTATCCAATCTGTCCATATAATGTAACAGTAACGACCATCTGTGACACTATATAATAAACGATGTGCATGAGATTGATTTTGTTTGGTCAAAATTTTGACTGACAGTTCGTCTTCTGCGCACGTGTATAACTGAATGGAGTGTTTTTAGCCATATTCTTGCAATAAAAGTGTATAATTTCTTATTATTTAGTATTTAACAATTAATATACGTACCACAAACAACCTCTCAATGTTAGACCAACAAACCCATAAAATGTAATGCCAATCATGTCTAAATTTGTTCACATTTCGTCCTTGCAGTAAATCCTTTTACGCCTAAGCCTTCTTATCACTGAGAAACTTAAACTAATTTATATTCTATACGGTATAACAAGTCATTGGAAGGTGCCCCCTTTTACTTAAGATAAATGCCCCTTTTTATTTCTAAAAGGTGCCCGTACCACATTTTACCACCCCTGATAAGTGCCCCCTCGTAATTGCCCATATTCAAATCTGACAGGTGTCCATTTTACTTAACTAAGTGCCCTTTTCATTTGTGATAAATGCCATTTTTACTTCTGATAAATGCCCCTTTTCTTTTTTAATAAGAGCCACTTCCCTTCTCATCAATGCCCCTTCTCACACGTCTGATAATTGCCTTTATTAAAATCTCACAGGTGCCCCTTTCCTTTCGACAAGTGCCCATTTTCCTTTGTAATAAGTGCCCCGTTCCATTTTCACAAGTGCCTCTATTCATCGCAGGTAGGTCAGTGCCCCTTTTTAGGTACAGAAATACCCCTTACCGACTCTGATAAGTACCCCTTCACCTCTTATATTTCCCTCTTTTCAAATCTGAGATTTATTTTGACAATTTAAAGTGCCTCTTTTCATTTCCGGTAAGTGCCCTTTTTAATATTTGAGAGGTGCTCCTTTAACTTTGTAATACAATGTAAGTACCCCTTTCATCTCTTTTAAGTACACCCCTTTTTTGACGCTTGCCCCTATCCTTTCTAATTCGTGCTATTTTCCTTCTGATAATTGCCCCTTTTCCTTAAGCGTCCTTTTAAATTTGGATGTGTGCCCCCTTTTCCTTTCATCATAAAATGTGCTCCAAATTTAAAGCCACTAGAGCAACTTTTTCTTCAATTTCACCCGGAGCTCGTTTGCTACGCTCGCTCGTATTTAATGTTAATGAAGTTTGTTTCTTATTAAAGATCTTTTCAGTTTTTCATGATTAGGATTGTTTTGCCTCTTTATAAGATGTTATTTTTCGCACTGCGCCCCAACAAATCTTCAATATTTTGCTCGCTCGCAAATGAATATTCCGACCATCACACCCAACTGCACAGTATGATGCTTAAGCAGTATCTTGGACCATGTAAAGAGAGAAACAAAAAAGAAATCATCCTCATTAATCTTATCACATAGGGGTATAAAGGCCTACCAATGTTTAAAATTTGTATATTTTCACTTTGAGGTTTCCCTTTGTAGGTGAACCTCTTTTTCTCTAGGAAGTGCCCTTTTTTGTTGATGTATAATAAGTCAATGAAGAAGAATACGACATTTCACATTGTAGATCGCTCATCGCTAATAGTGTTCTTTAAATTTTGTTTATTTCTTTTTCATTACAGGCAGCTAACTTATTGTTTTCCGAAGATCAAATAAAAGGTACGAAAAACAAAAGCTCGAATGTTTCAATTTTTAAAGTGGGAGACAAAATCTATAACAAGAAGGTATTATAAAACAATTTTAAACATGATACTAGTATTGAAATTAAAGTATAAGCTCTCGAATAGCATAAAAAAAAAATAAGATCACTAAAGATGTGAAAATAATAGCTGTTCTTCTCGGATAAACAAAATTCTCGTTAACATGAGATATATTGGTAAGTTTGGTTGGATTGTTTGTTGCTAAGAAAGCATGTGTGTGCCTGTAAGCAACCAGGGGACCGACGGCTTTCACTCCCCTCCGAGTGACTCGGTAATAAGGATTAATGCCTTACCAAAAGGCACTAGCGTATCGACTCGGTTTTGAACACGGGACCTCCCGGTTACGAGACACCTGCTCTACCACTGAGCCCTCACGCCTGCTTGCAATTTGAAGATTGTAATATTGAAGAAATCAAGAAAAATAACGCCTAAGGAAAAAAAACAAATTCTTATTCAATCCAATAATTTCTAGTCAATTAGAAGTAATTTGCTTTCTCAAGAAGAACGACTTTGCTTTTATTAGCAATTGCCAGTCTTTTGATAGTTTATATCAATGTAATATGTATATTACTCGATGTTTCCTTCTTACCTCTCCTGTTCCTTACCTTCTTTGTCTTACTGACACCATGATTTATCTGCACTTTATTTGTTTATTTTTTTGTTACCTCTTTGTAGGAATCCGGGAAAAATTCTCCACATTTGACACGGATAAAAATGGCACCATCTCTTGTAGGTTCTTGATTGAGGCGTTAATGACAGTGGGTGGTTACCTTAAACAGACCAGGGATAGGGATTGGGATTCTGGGCTTGACGAAATAATCAATAAGTTTCAATCTGATCGTAAGTTCGAAGGGGAGGAGACTATTGAATTTTCTGAGTTTTTGACGATGGTAGCAGAACAGACAACGAATACTACTAGACTGAGTCAATACTATGCAGCTTTCGCCGCCGCTGACAAGAATGGCGACAGAGTCCTCAGGTGAGTTGAACAGTGATAGGGTAGTCTTAAGGAGTGAAGGGGTAAAAAGGGGTGCTTTCCGCATCTTTTATGAGGATGGCAATAGATTTATCAGGTAGATTTGAAGAAGAAAAAAATATAATGGATTGTCCGTCCAAGTTTCCGCTGTTGGAGAAATGTGGACAATCATGGAATCAATTCTTGCTAAACTGAGACGAATGTTAAACAGCGTGTTAGGAAAGCCAATCCCAGAATTTGCCCCTCCCGCTCTCTCCTTCCCTTCCCCCGCCCCGCCCCCTCTCCTTCTCTCTCTAAAACTCTCAACCAGACAATATAGCTCCAATGAAAACTACGATCTACCACCTGGGTGAATATACCCTTTATATTCCTCATGCAAATAGAAGAGTTTTTTAAGGATGACAATAATATCCGGGTATCAGTAAATTTGTATAACGGGTTAGTTGTCCGGATGGTTTTGTAGTCTTTGCCGGGTCGTGATTGTCCGGACGGATGGGGACTATTATTGTGTTTGTTTTTCCTTTACAAAAGTAGATCAACTATCATCATTTTATTTTCTATATGGTATGGTTGAGATCAGATTTAGCACCTCTATGCTGGATCAATATTCATTACATTTGAAAGAATATTCGATGATAATTTAGTCAATGACTTCAATGGAATGATCCAAATTTGGAGAAAGTGAACTCAAAATAGTTGTTATTAACTATGCTAATTATTTGCTTGCAGTGCTGACGAGTTGCATAAAGCGCTTTCAACCGCTGATCCACCGATGACGAAGGAGGATATCGATGCATTGTTCAACAAAGCCGACCTTAATAAGGACGGTAAAATCAACATGTACGGTGAGTGCATTGAATGGATGATGTCAGTGGCATAGTGTAATCAACCCATTGAAGGGGAACTGGAATGATATGGGGATGGGCACCGATATTACTCGTAAAATGAAATACGAAATAAAAAGGCTGCTGCTCAGAGGAAGGGTATGGGAGGGGTCGAGGCGTCTTCTTTTCTCGTCCTTTTCATCAATTTCAAAACCTCACGTTCAGCTGAGAGTATACACCGATTCTTATGTACTACTAAATGTACCTTCCATAATTGGTCCCAAACATTTTTTTTCACCGTTAAATCGTATGGCCAGTACTCGACTTTACCTATAATCATCAAAATATTAAAAGCATTTCTCATTCGACGTCATTTTGTCTCGCCTGTGTAGCGGAGCGAGACATTTTTATAGGCGTCACTATATCCGGCGCCGTTGTAGTTGTTGTCGTCTACAATCATGCTGTATTCGCAATAAATTTGTATAGCTACGACGTATAGGATCACCAAATTCAAACCCCAGGTACATCTCTTGAAGGGGCAGATCAAGTTCGAAAATGGGTCAAATCTGAATGAGGTCAAATGTAAAAGGTCAATTAATTTTTCGTGAAAAGCACTGTACACGCAATAATTGAATAAAACTTTGATGATGAGGTCGGAGGTTCAATACCATCTTACGGCAATACCTCAACGATGATCCACTACAATTTTATCAAACTTGATATGTACTTTAGTAGACCTAATGAACAACGCACAATCTCAAGATGATTTCGGATTGCCAGGTCAACATTTATGTCATGTGAGAAACATCGCACTTGAGGGATATTCAATCAGAGGCAGAGGCAGAATTCTCAATCATGCGCAGTTGAATATTTTCTAGTCTGTGTCTTTTTTTAATACACTAGGTTTTAAGATAGTATTAGCAGCATTCTTAAGTGGTGTTCTCTCATTTTCCAGGGAAAAAGTCCATGCAACATTAACATGCTAGAATCAAAATTTACAATCTGAACCTCTGAAAGCTCGAAATTATATACTTTTCATATGTGTATTGAGTTATTATTCGCACGGTGAGATGCAGGCGAGACAACGTTTGAAGATTGCCTTATTTCTTTTCACTCACTGCATATTTTTTTCTCCTTTTCAAATTTTCAGAATTCATTCTTGCGATAAAGGCTTCTTTTGAAGATGATAAATGATTCTACTTCAACATCGACAACTTGTCCTTTTTATTCTTCTTGAGGAATATGTGGGAGAGGGCGATATAATCGTCTCGCATCATTTTTCTTCTCTTCATTTCATTATGTTCCGGTGATTTTTTTTTGAGCCGTCACTTTTTGATTTGTTTCATTTCTCTTTTTTTCAAAGAGTGGCTCGAATTCCACTTCACTTTATTTCTTTACATTTTTCATAATACCGTGGGTGCTCTTAAAAATGTTTGTGTACTCCTTCCGGGAATAAATGTTGCGTTTTTTCTTCATCTGAAAGCCAACTATTGGTATCGCATTATTATGATACCTTTGACATCATGATTTTGTTTATTCGTTTTTTAATTGTATCATTAGTCATCGTGATTGTGGTTAGGATGGAGGTCGACTAACACCAAAAGTCCGAAAAGTGACATGGTACACAAGGGAGAAGAGGAATTTAACTTGTTTAATTCTTGATAGGCGGTAAAAGCACTTATCTTACATTACTTTAATGGTCTTTCATGTGGATGTGTCGTGGGTCATTCACTTGACTCATTGAATTAAATTGAATGGTTTATTGAGCATACTGATATTGGCAGCACGAAGGCTGAATTATATTTGTTTAACAGTAATGCACGTGAAACAAAAAGCAATGTTACAATAATTACTACATAACACTTGCGAGAATACAGTCAAAGATTAAATTAATTAGATGTATAAGTATATATAGTTATGTTTTGTGTTTGTTTATACGGAAAATGAAACCAAACCAAACCAATCCAAGGCTTAAGAGCCCGGCACTAAGTTACGTCATTATTTTGGCAAGGCATTAATATACATTCGCCACTCTCCACCCAGGTGTAAATGGGTACCCGGTAATCGCTAGGGTATGTTGCAGGGCCCGTAGGAAGATTAGTATTAATACTGATGTTGCTACCCTGAGTTAACAAAATTGATATTTCTATTATTATTATTATTGTTATTATTATTATACGGCAATATCACTTACAGTAAAGTGGAGTAAATGGGTGTATGTAAACAATTATATATGGTGCAATTTATAATCATGCAATGTTCACTAAATATAAATCGACTAAATAATACTCTGATATTACTACTCTCCATTTTGTTTGTTGTCTTGAAAATGGATTTTCATAGTAGTGTTGGGAAATGTACATCCTTAATTCATGTAGTTTTTTTGCTGTAAAGAATAAATCATGTATTTAAACAAATATATCACAAACGTTACTCGCTTCGTTGGCAAAATGTTAATGACAGAGATGATGATGATGATGATGATGATGATGATGATGACGATGATGATTATGACTGTCCACCTCATGGTTTGCGATTCAAGCATTGTGATATAATATTATTATAACTATGATATGAAATTCACACAAATAAATTATCTAATATCCATTAGTAGTAGTCACTCTATGCAGAGCGAATTTATTTCATTTTATACATAATATGAACAATGACAAGATAATCACAATAATAAACATGATATAACAGGAAATTAGCATTGAAATATCTTTGACAATTCTTTTTTTAGTCTTGTTATGCAAAATTATTTAGTTACAGGAAATGAAAAACGAATTTTCTTTGAAGTAATGCTTATTTAAGGTGTAAGTTCGCACAATAATAATTTAAACTTTATACATTCATAACTGATTTTTGACAGATTACGGAGTCAAAGAAATATGACGGATAAATAAAACGAAACAAAAACAAATAAGAACAGTGGCAGGATGACAAGATGAGGATGGTATATAGATGAAGAAAATAGGAGTGAGAGAGTAACGAACAGGAAAAGAGGGAAAACGGCAGAGAGAGAGAGACAGAGGTAGAAAGAGTGAGAGAGAGAGAGAGAGAGAGAGAGAGAAAGAGCAAGAGAGAGAGAAAAAAGTAGGGAGGGAAAGAGAGAGAGAGAGAGAGAGAGAGAGACAGACAGATAGACAGAGAGAGGGAGAGAGAGAGGGTGGCCATGGAGGAATCCTTTTTGAGTAGTATCATATGGAAACAAATCGTACACGAGTCACAATTTCGATGTGTATGAATCAGGATGAACGGTAGTCAGAGTCCCTTGACGATATTTCATTTCATTACATTTATTTTCATATTTCTCATGTTACATATACATTTCAAATAAAGTACAAGTTGTTTTTTCAATGATACATAATAATTAAACATAAAGATAATTAGAGTACTGATTTAACTGAGAGAAATATGATGGGACCTACATGAAAGCAAGCTTGTAAAGCTGTAGGCCCCAGTGAAATAGTTTGTGGTAATGAATGGAGGACGGATATAAATAGTGACCAGTCTAAATGAATCAAACAAATAAAAGGGGGTGGGGGGGGGGCATTCCAGTAACTGCGTCCTGTAAACATGATCGTTTTTTGGGCCAAAACAGTTCGGGTATGTGGAAGGTGATATGCGTTGCTCTGACGTGTGGGATAAGCATGTAGGGATATATTTTTCTGAATTATTTGTAAAAATATTTCAGGTAGGTTATTAGCAGATAAATTATTCATGATTATACCAACATTGTAATAGAATAAGTCTGATAATTTTAGGATTGTGTTTTCATGGAACAGGTTGTTGGTGTGAAAAGGGTATCCTACATGATTAATATTTCTAATAGTGCGTTTTTTAATGCGAAAATGATGGGTCCAATGGCAGATAAAGTTATCCATTATCATGATTATACTCGTTTGCATTAGACTTTCAGTGGAGTGATATATAGTTACACATAATATGTTATGGGACAAATGAGACAACTTGACTCTCGTGGAAATGAATACATATTGTGAGAAATGAATCTACATGGCGTTCTTATTGAAGAACATAATTATATAATCAATTCACTTTTAATCATAACTGATTGACACAAATCTGTGGTGAGAATCCCACTGTCGTATTGTTGAATCATTTGTTGAAAAGAGAAGTAAAAAATAAAAGCATGTGGACGGTTCTTTTTCTGTCTAAAGGCACATTTGGACATAATTTGTTGTCTACTGACTATACATATTGAACTGTTTAATGTGTTTTCATCGATTTTGATTGGTTTAGATGGCACTCTTGTTCATGCAACCAAGATATGTATAAATCTAGGGGTCACTCTTGATGATACCTTCACGTTTGGGGAAGAAAAAAAATTTCCACAAGAAAATGTCGTTCAGCATCATTTGGGTTGAACAGAATAGGTAAAATTCGAAGAAAAAAAATTGGACAGGACTACCACTGAACGCCTAATTCATGCTTTTGTTTTGTGCCATTTTGATTTATGTAATATTTGGCTTTTGGGTCTTCCTTCTCATTATATTCAAAGATTACAAGTTATTCAAACTCAGCAGCCGACTTGTAACACGAACAAAGAAACATGAATCAACATCCCCAGACTTCAGAAAATTACATTGGCTATATAAAAATACCTACCCAGTCCTGTTAAAGAACATTTATTAACTTATCAGTGTTTCCATCAGTTTGCTCCATGACATATCTCATTGAATTGCTAATACATTATAAACCACAAAGAATGCCGCGTTCCAGTAAAAACTTGTTTATTTTATGTCCCACAAAATGTGACAAAATCTTTTTGGGGAAAGGTCATTTTCATATGCAGCTACTGTTTTTTGGAATAATTTGCCGGAATGTCTTAGGATAATTGAAACATATGGCAAGTTTAGAAGTTATTTGAAAATATATCTATTCAGCACTTTGTACGATCTCACAATTATGAACCCAGGTGCACCATTTTCACTCCTTCTGTATGCTGTTCTGTAAAGTACATAGAGATATGCAATTATGCCTATGTGTTATGCTCTATACAAAAACGTTTAATTCATTTTATTTTTGTTATTACAAAACAAATTCTTCAAATATGAAATGAATATGATGTACTGGTCGCTTTTCACGGAAGAGTTTTAGTAACGATTTTAATCCGTTATTTTTCACCGCTCGTTGTGACGTCGGAGCGTAATAGTCATAATTGATTATTAGTATTGATGAATTATAATATAGTATGGATGAGTAAGGGGGGCCGGTGGAATGCTTCAACGCATATCAAATTAGTATACTGTCGCATACATGGTCCCTTCTAATTAGTGTTCGGTACATATTCTATCCGCCATTGCTCAACTGTAATCATACAGCGGGGGGTTTGTAGCCAGACCAGTTTCCACCTTTCATATCGCAACTGACTTCACAATCAAAGAGATTATGGTAAGTCAAATATAAGACATTACAATAGTGAAATGCATTTGTATCACAATATTTATTTAAATGTTTGCCGTCATTGTGTCCTGGTGCGTACATCACTTCTATTTCTACTTCTATGGTAATACTCATCAACGCCTGTTCAGCACCTAGATCAGGGTAAAGCATAGAGTTGTTATATACAGCTCTATGCAGTACAGTTCCTGAAAAGGGAACTAAATTGATTCAAGAGGTATCAGTACATGCTATTTGTAGCTTCTTGCACAGTTAAGCTTCAGCTAAGGGTTAACTTAGGCAAACATCGGAACGCACTCCGTAATAACTGTCCAATCATACTTGGGTATAAATGTTCAAAGATTTCGTTTATTACACATCCGTAAACTGTATATCGTAGATACGATCGTAAAGATTCTCAAGAAATCAACTCTTCGTAAAACACGTCGTATATAAACGAATAGGAAGATTAAAGAGCGATAACGTAGAGTATAACGTAGAACAATGAATATCATGTAGCGATGAGTGAAACGAACGTTGAGTGAACGTAAATGAGTGAGTGATACCAGTGAGTGTATTGCTGTAAAGCAATAGAAATAGAATTATAATGAATGTATGATCTACATTTCATAACGTGTAACACTTGAACACTGTGATTAATATAACTAATATTAATCATTGATATTAATCTCCTGTATTGTCTTTTCCCGTAAATACAGCCAATCTAGTTAGTATACATGAGACTTAACATGACATAATATGTGATATTATTACATGTTTATATTATGTTTATATATATATATATATATATATATATATATATATATATATAAACATGTAATAATATGACGCAAATGAACTTAATCTTAATTTAAGCTACAGTTAAATCGGTATTAACTTTAATATTGATTCAACTACACTAAACTACAGTGTGAACATGTCTCTATTCTAAGAAGTTCGTGCCTGTGGCAACGGCATCCAAATCCATTCTCACTTTGCTGGACCGATCCAATGGTCCGCTCCAGGGGTACGGTTCGTTTATGTTCACACTCATCATAATCTTTACCCTCATAAGACACATTATTTCATAGCAATAGGAAGGGATCCTGTTGCTATGATGGCACGGGTTATTTTCGCGCGTAATTAAAATATATTTCATGGTACCTTCTCTGTCTATCTTTTTAAAATGTTATTCTTCGTTTCCTTCTGTCATCTCTTATTATATTCTTTTTTTTTTTTTAAATTCTATCATATTTTCTCTCTGTCTATTTCATGTTCATTTTTTTTGCCTTCTGTCATTTTCTTTTGTTAGTCTTTGTTTTTCCTTCCTTCACATCTTATGTTATTCTTTGTTTTATTATTCTATCATTTTTCCTTTCTATCTTTCCTCATGTTATTCTTTGTTTTTCTTTCATATAATCTTTCTGTCTTTCCTTATATGTTATTCTTTTTTCCCCTATTTTATTGTTTGTTATTACCATTCTATCATTTTTTCTTTCTTTCTTACCTTATGGTTTTCTTTGTTTGTTCCTTCTATCACCTTCTTTTATGTTAATCTTTGTTTGTATGATTCTATTATTCTCTATACCTATCTGTTTTTATATATACGCTATCCTTTGTTTCTTCCTTCTATAACCTTTTCTTATGTTATTCATTGTTTTTATCATTCTATCATTTTCTCTTTCCGTCTTTTCTTATTTCATCCTTCGATTTTTCCTTCTAAGTTCTAAACCTTTCCGTTTGTTATTCTTTGTTTCTTCCTTATATAACCTTGCCTTATGTTATTCATTGTTTCTTCCTTCTATAACCTTTTCTTATGTTATCCTTTGTTTCTTCCTTCCATTACCTTCTCTTATGTTATGTTGTTGTCTTCCTTCTATAACCTTTCCTTATTTTATTCATTGTTTCTTTCTTCTATAACCTTTCCTTTTGTTATTCTTTGTTTCTTCCTTCTATAACCTTTCCTTATGTTGTTCTTGGTTTCTTGCAATTTTTGCTGCGTATTGTCTATTAATGACATCATTTACATTTAACATGATTAAACACATTTGTTCTTAACATTTCCATGATTAGAAAGCTGATTAACACAATTAACTAACTTTCAACGGGTGCACAATACACTGGAAGCACGCCAATATTATGTCCAATATTCTCGCTCACTAAATTCGTTTGGTATGGAATCATCACAAGCTTATGAGGTAGACATAATTTAGATTGCAATACAGCCATACCTAATCGTTTTGCATGATTAGTTATGATTAGTTGATCAGGATGTGAGGGGCACAGCAATTTTCTTCTGTATGAGAATTTGGTAAAGGAATGTAGTAATTTGACGTGGAACTAACATCTGCGGTTGTTATAATTATGAACAATCAACTTTATTCCTTTTGCTGCTTGCATACACTTATATTGATCGTTCTAAAATTCGGCTTGGTTTGTCAGCCTTGAAATCATTACAAACCTATCAGCTACAAGAACGCACATTACAAGGTAAAACAAAATAAAAATTGAACACTATGAATTGAGAGTTTTATGGTTCATTTATTTATTTTGATTTTAAATAATGGAAACCATGTTTTTATTTTGCAGGATGATTGTGCATGTAAAATTCCAGTTGTGAACTATCGAGCCTCTTGCTGCTTCTGTTTATGAATAATAATAATAATAATATAAAAACGTTACAAGCGCTTGTACCACCTAAGTCTCTAAGCGCTATAACAAACAAAATAGACTGATAAACAATTACTTATTAAACAAAAACAAAAAGTGCAAATAAACCTACAAATTACAATACATATGAAATACACATTAATATGAACAGAGTAAGTTAATCATTAAAAGCAATTTTGAATAAATGTGTCTTAAGACAAGTTTCGAATTGGTTAACAGTTTGACAGTTTTTTAATGAAGACATTGCCAAGAGTAGTGTTGGGACGAGAGATACGAAAACCTAGTTTGGCAAAAATAAATATTGTGCCCATTCGCCCATGTCTTTACCAAAATATGTCTCACTGGTCTAATTGATTGATGTAGAGGGGTTAAAGTTCAGATCAGGTACATGAAGGAGCAAGCATGTTGTATGCATAGACTTCATCAACTCGACCAAGGATTATAAATCCTGTTAAAAGATAAAGGTGAGTTCTGGTTAAAAAAAAAAATTCTCACAGAATCAAACGAAACTTACACTGAATGTTCAAGACTACAGATAAATGTCATTGCCAAACAATTTTGGTATAAAATGTATACTGGCTGAGTAATGAGCATAGAAAGATTAGGAAATCAAGGTTAGTAACCCCGACACCCTTTGTGTAGTCCCATATACATCTGTCTGTGTACAGTGCTTGTTACTTTACCAAGACTGGGCCAAATTTATTATGATTTTGATGACTCCAAAACTTTGCAGTACACACCAATACATGCTACATGATCAACTATTTCTGATCGATTTCTTTCACAATGCAATCGGATGGCCAGAACTCAACTTTATCTTAACCCACTGACTACTGATTTCATGTATTCCCATATGTTTTAATACAGGAGTCACCCAGTTCCCGTCGGCAAGGGGTTAAAGTTGGGCAAATTTGTGGAGTGCCAGATGTAGGAATATGTAAAAATGTACTATAGCCTGAGAAGTGCCCATTCTGATATTCATTCAAGATATGAAAAATATTGTCATTACGAGTTAAATATCTTTCCCCGTCTTCTCTCTGCTGTTGATTTAAAAAAAAGATAATCAAGCTGGACTTCTCTTATTAGAATTCATATCCAGCTATATATTCCAATTGCTTGGAAAGCATGAAATACTTTTTCTGGTATATAGATTACCGTCTAGTGTCCTTAAAGACAAATTTTGCTGCGATGTAATTTATTCGTTCTCTCAGTGTGTTTCGTACCGAGGCTTTATGAAAATGTACCATAATCACTATCAAGTGTAATTCATGAAAATAACATTGCACCGGATGATTTTTTTTTTATTGGCGTTTCTGATGGTCCAAAATTGTGGACCGATATTTCGTCTTAGCCCCTCGAATCTTGATGGTCTACCTTCAACGTATATCCTTCTATTTTTACAGGCTGATCAACTCACTGAAGAGCAAATAGCAGGTAAGGTTTACTACACTGATATGACATGCTTGTTATTTAAAGACTTGATTACATCGTTTGGCAGAGTGGGGCAAGAAAAGCCATAACGTTTCATAACATATTTACACTCTGCCGTGATCTACCGGAATAATCGCACTAACAACAGTAACGATTGGTATCGGCCATCTCAATACTAATAGGCGAAATAATATACATCTTTCATTAAAAAAAAAGGGCAAAGACAAATGGTGAATAAGGCAAGAGCGCAGTGGTGCTTGTTGTCCCTACGCACTTTTCTTTTAACCAATACATTTAGTCAGCAAACTAGGACTAAACTAGGACTAATCTAGGATTCTATTTCTCTCACGTTTCTGGTCTTTTTCTTTGTATAGAATTCAAAGAGGCTTTCTCCCTTTTTGACAAGGATGGTGATGGCACCATAACAACCAAGGAGTTGGGTACTGTGATGAGATCACTTGGTCAGAACCCTACTGAGGCTGAGCTTCAAGACATGATCAATGAAGTGGATGCTGATGGTAAGCTGCTTAGTCAATCTGGAAGATGTCGCCTATCGTTTGGATATTTAGGGTTCCTCAGCCCTTCCCTTCCCTGGTTCGCCAACCTTTCTGTTATCATCTTATTCAATAAAAAGTATTAGTCAATATCGTTTTGTCCTGCTGTTACTAACTGTTGGTGAATGCATTTAAAAAAAAAAAAACGATCTTGCTTGAAGATTCGGGAGCAGCATTAATATAAACATAAACCTCGATATCACAGTTGTTGATTTTCGGTGACTTTGTCTTGTGAAAAGAGCACACCATTGTCCTTTATCTATGTAAGAGTAGTAAAATATCGCTACGTTTGTCTGGCCTCGACTAGGTAACGGAACAATCGACTCTCCTGAATTCCTGGCGATGATGGCAAAGAAGATGAAGGATACAGACAGCGAAGAAGATATCAGAGAAGCTTTCAGAGTCTTCGACAAGGATGGCAACGGTTATATCAGGCAAGTTGGATAGAGAAAGGGTAGTCTCGCCGAGCTGAAGAGCCAGAGGGGGAGCCTTTTGTGTCGTTGACAAGGATGCCAACATATTCATCACACTATTATGTGGGGAGTTTTGAAAGCAGGGCTGCTAATATTAAAGGAGTGAAGATGTGAGAAGGGAAACTCCCGAAGCTTTTGGGAAGGGTGATAACAAGTTCATGAGGTGAGTTACGCGTGTGATTCGGGTATTCTGGAGGAAAATAAAGAAACTTTCCAGATTCCAGGGCCTTCGACAATGATGTGAAGAGATTTATCACTTAAGCTTGGCAATATGGTCAGGTAGTCTAGAGGTACAACAAGTGTTCACAGTCATGCGCTTCCGGTCCAGAATCTTTGAATAATCTAGAGACGCTAACGTATTCATCAAGTCGGCAAGGGTCTATCAATGATCTGGGAGAATAACAGCGATCTTTATTTTTCAATTTCACAACTTTCACCTGTTCAAGTTCGGGGAAAACAAATTGAAGACCCCTTTTCCTATATTTTGTACAGCGAAATAGTCTAGGGAATAGATTAATTCATTAAGAAAAACTATATAAAGGTTTACTGATAGTCATTGGTTTGCTTTTTTCCCTTGCCATCCCAGTGCTGCCGAGCTACGTCACGTGATGACAAACATTGGTGAAAATTTGACGATCGAAGAGGTCGATGAAATGATCAGGGAAGCCGACGTTGATGGTGACGGCCAGGTCGATTATGAAGGTAATCATACAATTGATGACAAACAGAAGCGGAACATATTACTTGTATCCGTTAAATGAACAAGTTGCTAATTTAATTTAAACATTCAAACTGTTCTATACCATACCTATTCTTCCCTTTCTGTAACTGAATAATAAATAAATTTACTGTAGATTGGATGCAGAATCACTAATGATAAAAATACCTGTGATCTCTATGCTTGATATTTTCAAAAATAAGAAAAAAAATCTTTTGTGTGTCCATGCCTCGAGCCATAATGCATGGTCGTACAGAGGATATTTTTTATGTTGGGGACCGAGGTAAAATTCAATGAATTATTGAAAATTTATTGCATTTTCTTTGTTTTTTTATTTTGGGGAACTGCCCCCTACCCTAGCCCCCGCTGTGTACAGTCATGGTTCAGTGGCAAAGCAATGGCCTCATAACTGTGAGGCCCCAGGATCGAAACCGTGTCAATGTGCCATATTAGTGCCCTTTTGTGGGGCATTAATCCTCATTACCGTCATTTATGACTTAAGGGCGAAAGTCCCCTGGTTTATAAGCATAGTAGCATACACATGCTTTAGCAGTCACGCAAAACAAACACTGGCAAATTATTATTCAACAAAATCTAAGAATGTTTACTATTATCTAGATCTATTAGGAAAAAATCGTTGTCGAAATAATTCCATGAATTGGGGTAAAAAAAAAATATTCCAACTATATGAACGACAGTGTAGATAGATTTTCCAATATGTCAAGATATTGCACAAAATCGGACATATTTGATTTTACCTGTGAGTTTCCAACTTTAATCGCATTATTTTACCTTTTCTCCTTGTATTCCATCCAGAATTCGTCACTATGATGACCTTCAAGTGAAAGTCTTGGTGATGATGAGGGTGATAAAGATGATGATGAACGTTACGGATTCTAATTTCAACTTAAAAGTTCACAATTTTCTTCTTCCTGCTGGACTCCATTGGAATAGGATGTTGTGGCTACCATTTTATATTACTACTATTAAAACAATCACCTTGGTATATCAATGTACATGTATATTCAAATAATGTCTACAGTCATAATTATTGAAGAATTGTTAATAGCAACTTAAAACCTCGTCGATTCAATTGGCTTTTTGTCAAGAGGACGCTTTTGATTTTTATCCGTTCTGTTTCTCTTTAGAGCTTCGTAAACCAGAATATTTTTTTGTGCAATTTGTACAACATTCATGACTTTGATGTTTAATGTTTACGTTTATTGTGTTTTATATTAGGCTACCCATTAATGTGTTGTTGTTGTTGTTTTAGTCTTAAAGGCGTGTGTCATTCAATTATGAATATTTACGTAAACATGATATCATTAGTCTTCGGACTACATTTATGTAACATGATATCTTTTAAAATGTTTATTAATCATACAAATAAAAATCGAATTGCAAAAAACAAATACAACATACAGTGTATTCCGCTCAAAGGCCTAACTAATAAGACTATAAACAGTAATTAATTACCATCGCATAAGTTGACATCGTTAAAATGTTGATAACACAGTAGATATTCAACCTAAGATTGTATTATCAAGTGAATGTGTCACACTTCTTAAAGGTTAAAAATAACGTTACGGAGTACAAGTGGTAAATCAGTGCTTATTCATAATAATGTTCGTATGTCAATAATACTGCGATGTTCCTGGAATATATAATTGAAAGCTCATTGGAAGCAATATTCTACTTAAAGATAAAGTTGAGTTCTGGTCATCCGATTGCATCGTGAAAGAAAAGGTGTGGAATGGATCAGAAAAAGTTGATCATGTATCATGTAAGTATTGGTGTGTACTGCAAAGTTCTGGAGTCATCAAAATCATAATAAATCTGGCCCAGTCTTGGTAAAGTAACAAGCCTTGTACACAGACAGATGTACATGGGACTACACAAATGATGTTGGGGCTACTAACCTTGATTTCCTAATCTTTCTATGCTCATTTCTCAGCCAGTATACATTTTCGACCAGAATTATTTGGCAAATGACATTTATTTATAATCTTTAACATTCAGTGTAAGTTTCGTTTGATTCTGTGAGAATTTTTAATTTTTTTTTTTAAAACCAGAACTCAACTTTGTCTTTGAGATAAAATTTTGATTGTCCAATGTTAACGTATAGTTAGTTCGCATACTTCACATTAGCGTTAAATAAATTATGTATCAAAATAATTGTAAGATGATTCAAGATTATACTTGTAGTGATGACGACGACGACGATGATGATGATGATGATGATGGTGATGATGATGACGATGACAATGACAGTGTGATGAAATTGGAGATAGTGTTAATTATTACGGTGATGAAAAGACAATGATGATTATGGTTCTAAAGATGATGCTTGCGATGATGATAGATGATACAAAGAAGGTGATGGCAAAGGCGATGATGCTGGTGGTGATGGTGATGATCAGGCGCGTACGCAGGATTTTTTCAAGGGGGGGGGGGGGGGGGTAAAAGGACACTTTTTTTTTTATCCCAAAAAAATCGCAACGACTCAGCCGACCGCTGAATAAGCGGGGGGGGGGGGGGGGGTAAGAGGTCACTTTTTTTTTTTGGTCCAAAAAAATCGCAACGACTCAGGGGGGGGGGGGGGGTTTACACACAAAAAATACCAAAGGGGGAGGGTTAACCCCCCAACCCCCCCCCCCCCTGTGTACGCGCCTGGTGATGATGATCAGATGATGACGATGATGATGAAGATGATGATGATGATGATGATGATTATAGTAATACTTACCTCGACGATGATGCTATTAATAACAATAATGAAATGACGATTATGCTGATTACAATGGAGGTTGGATTAATGGTATGAAAACTAATTGTTAAAACGAATAAATTTATTGAAATGATTATTAAATAAATATCAATACGATGCACATTGCGAGATACTATAACAAGATATATTGTGTTTACCGTAAGACCTATTTCATACTCAAAGCCCTGCACTAGTCGACGTACAATGTAAAATGTTAGGCCTTGTCACAGTTTTGTTGCTACAACGCTACATGTAGTTCGCATTACAACTATACAAACGAACCCACCATTTTCCTTTAATTATATTCATGGGAAAACCCCGGTTGAGATTTTGGAAGCTGATAGTATAGTTCACTATGCCATCTTTCACGCGTTGTCATGACAGCGTATTTAGATGATATTTGATGAATGAATAGAGTGAATAGCAATATTTGCATGGATTTGAAAGCATGAGCGCACATTATCGAGTGAGTGAGTGAGTCAGCTCGCAATCTGACGCACAGGATCGCTCGTTAATATTGCTCACAAGCCACAAGCTCTCGTCGCCTCTATACCAACAGGAGTCAGACAGCACTGACGCGGCCAAATCAATCATCCTTTTCTGTCTTTCATCGAACCTTACCTCACATTCCATAGAAAAATGGTAAGTCAAGTTTAATATTATTAATTTTAATGTGTACTGTTTGTCATTTAGGACTACACATTCGCGGTTTTGCATGTTGTGTGAGTGGGATTAATTCAGTAATTTTAAGGCTATTATACTTCCTAAAAGATAATCTAGACTCTGTTGGAAAGGTATCTGTCCATTTTATTTTCTCTAGACCTCATATACTGACGATATATTAAATAGTGAGTAACTATTTTCATGTGTGATTATAGTTTGCTTGTTAGTGGCTCCGACTATTCACAACAGGGCAAGAAAGGACTCGTTGAAGAAGAAAAAAAATAGGGACTTTATTACTTGGCGCAAGCACCGTCGATGGGAGTTACATTGGCATGGGTGATTTGTGTACAGAAAAAAATAAAGGAATTGCTCAGACTGAAATACAAGCAAAAAGATAAAGCGCATATGAATATGAGCAAGCGAACATGTATAATGGGGGCCATTATTGAAATTCCTTTGTCATGTATTTTTTCCTCCCTTTTTGACGCAAATACTTTGCGAAAATGCCATAACCGATATGCGACCTTAATGGCCCATTGGCGTTCTGTGCGTACTGTATCATGTCCCTGTGTGTACTACCGTTTGGAGGCCATTTTACTTTCAGTTTGTTCCATGCGAATTCATCTTTTCTGCAATTTATTTGTCCTATGTGGGAGTATTTACGGGAACCAGGGAACTGAGGCGTTGTGTACTGCTCAAACATCCCACAGATTGTACACAGTCAGCCCTCTCATACTCTCTCTCTCTCTCTCTCTCTCTTTTCACTCACTCCATCTAGGTGCATTTCCCTTTTTGCTCTCTCTTTGTTGTCTGCCTCCATCTTTCTCTCTCCATCTCTCTCTCTCTCTCTCTCTTTTCACTCACTCTATCTAGATTCAGAGAGTATGTGCATTTCCCTTTTTGCTCTCTCTTTGTTGTCTGCCTCCATCTTTCTCTCTCCATCTCTCTCTCTCTCTCTCTTTTCACTCACTCTATCTAGATTCAGAGAGTATGTGTATTTCCCTTTTTGCTCTCTCTTTGTTGTCTTTCTCCATCTTTCTCTCTCCATCTCTCTCTCTCTCTCCCTCTCTCTCTCTCTCTTCATCCCTCCTGCTGTATACATGCGCTTCCATAGTTCACGAATTATCATTAAACTGGCAGCCGGATAAAAAAACGCATTTCATTTTGGTTCCAGCTACCAAGTATATAGTATAAAGGCTTTAGCTCAAATATTCCAAATGCACTTAATGTTACTTAATCTTGAAAGTGACACGTCATTAACATAATAAGAATACAATTAAAAACAACATATTTCTTGTAGTAGTGCATTTCTAGACATTGTACGATAAAACTGTATCTTTAACTAAAAATAGGAAACACAAAATAGAACAAGAATATTCAGTAATCGATCGTCTATACGCTCATTTTGTTTATTGTTTGGGTTTTTCTCCCACAGGCAGATCAACTCACTGAAGAGCAAATCGCAGGTAAGGTGTTTTGATCTGTTGATAAGACTTGCTCTTGATTTTTTCACACAAATTAATCGATGAAGCTGTTATCCATGATTGCCATGGTAATGCGTTGGTAGGATGTACGTTGTCATTGTTCCCTAAAACCGGTCAGTCTGTATTTGCGAGAGAAAGAGAAAAAGAAGAAAAGAGGGGAGAGAGAGAGTAAGCATTTCTTTCTCAAATCTGTGTATCATTTGTTATCAAACTATTGGTTTTAATCGTAATATTTCATCATATGTTTTTTTTATTTAATTTAATATAAATTCAACCCATGTACCATATTTTCATCACGGTCGTATCCTCACTTCTGCTAAAGATAGGAAGAAAAAAGACGTTAGAAAAGTGAAGAAATATTTTTGTTGACCAATCTGATATAACGAGCATTGCCTTAAACAGTGATAAACATTATTATATCGTTTTAGAGATATGTAATTTCTCCATTGTCACAACAAGTGGCGACACATTTAGAGTATACACCCCTTTCGGCAGGATTGGTCCAATAGCGATACCCTGCTATTTCGGATTGTAGTGAAAATCGACATTTGTCCTTAGTATTTGGTACAATGACATTATCAGTGGCACTTAAAGCTGCGGCATATATACCAAATGCATGTCCCCCACAAATACTCTGAGTTAAACACAAGACTTCTTGAAATGGTGAATACGATATCTCAGATTAGAGAATTTCTAAGAAGATTATCACATTAGATAATGATGTATTTTTGTTTTCTTCTGATACGGAAATCGACATACAGTTGACTTACATGGATATAGTCAGTAAGGAATATTTCTAGATGACTATTCTATTTCTTTGTTTACTTTGATTATATCTGTAAAGTGCTTAGGCACATCGGTGGATCGATGTATTGAGCACTATATAAATAAAAACGGAATATTATTATTATTATTATAGTTTATGTTATATAAATGTAATATAGTATAGTACCAAAATTTCTTCCTAAAGATAGGGAACCAGACTCGACTAGCACCTGTGCTTACTTTTGGTACCCCCCTTTAATAACAAAATGGTACACATACTCTTTTCTTTCATTTGTATACTGAACATACTTCGTAAAACAATGTTTATCTTATCCATGTGTAACTTTATATCGTGTGTTATATTGTATGTAATCATGACTGGTAACATGTGTAATGTTATTTATCTTGTGTTATATTGTTATATTGTATGTAATCATGACTGATACATTATGTTTTACTTAACTATGTTCTTATTGTTGTTGTTAATAAAACTCAAACTCAAACTCTTTTTATCTTCTTCTGGCAATTATGATTTTCGTTGTTTCTTTGTTGCCATCTCTGTAGAATTCAAGGAGGCTTTCTCCCTTTTTGACAAGGATGGTGATGGCACCATCACAACCAAGGAGTTGGGTACTGTGATGAGATCACTTGGTCAGAACCCTACTGAGGCTGAGCTTCAAGACATGATCAATGAAGTGGATGCTGATGGTAAGTTCACAATGGAAAAATAGAGATATATTTTGTATTCTTTTAAGAAGACAGTTAAAACTATGTTATTGTCTAAGTATTGATCCTGTCGTGTGTAATTTTACTGTGTTCATGTTCGTGTGTAAATTGACTGTATATTCAACAATGATGTGTAATCGTCCATGACCTAGCATCGTTGATCCATTCACGAATGAATTATGAACCTGCATTCAATCAGCAGATGTTTGGGATTTATTGTATTATTACCAACGCTCCTTCTCTCCCCTTTCCTGTTCTTCTCTGCAAGTCACACTCTTTTGTATTGTTATTGTTGGATCTAACTTGAGGGCTGCGGGCACGTCAAGCTACTTTGCTTATTTCTGTAGCCCTCCTGCATCTAATGTATGTTATTTATGCATTCAATATATTTGTTTAATTTCGTTTATTATCTGTATAAAATTATATACACTTAAAATATTGTATCAAACCATATTATGTTCATGAAAATGTATGATGAAAAAAAGAAAAAAGATGCAGAAACCAATCAAATCAAATCAAATCAATTCAAATTTATGATTCCGATTTACAATACTATATATATGTAAATTGCCAATAGAAATACGAAGCACTCCATGTCAATTCAAATCCAATTAAAAAACTTATTTGTTCAACTGAGGGATCTTATTTTGTAGAATTTAGTAAAAAGGAGCTCTTAACCAGCGCAGCTGAATATATTTTGTATAAAAGCTGCGCTATATAAATTTATTATTATTATTATTATTATATATCCTTTATTATTTGTTGTGCTCGTCTCCCCCGTCATATCAGTCATCACGAATATCGGGGGGGGGGAGGGGGGGGGGGAGGGGGGGGGGGAGGGGGGGGGGGGAGGGGGGGGAGGGATTTTCCCGAAATCTTGACGGTTTGGCTAAGACGTCTAAAAGACACCTAATATTAGGGAATGACGCGGCCAGAGTTCAAACTTCCAAAAATCTTCTATTAAGGATCCCGACTGCCATTGGGTACTGTACGTTAGTTTCTCCTAGCTTGAAAAATTTCATAATCAAGGCGCATGGCAGATCAACCGCCCTAAAGTATTCTCTTCCCGATTTGACCTTGGAGCAGGATAAAAATGGGATTTTGTTTTTCTTCTTTCACCCTTAGTTACCAGGTGTATTATTAAAACAAAACAATCAAACTTACATACATTTTTGTTCAACATCACCACTTTAATACTTTACACGTACACTTCTCTCAATTCAGGTAAATTATACATTTTTCGTTCTTCGTTTTTTAACAGAGCTGCGTTGATGTCCAAACGTGTCTTAATTTTTTTCTTTTCATCTTTCCCCTTTTCGTTTCTCAAAATTATCAGTTTATAAAAGCTCCACTGAAGACAATTGTAACAATCTCATCAATATTTTTTTCCAAATAGGTTTTTAATAAAATACCAATATTAAAATAAATATCTACATTATAGACATGTGTTATTATTTCCATTATTTTTTTAAAGAAGGGAATGAACATTTCACATTAAAAAAGCATGAAAATGAATCATTTCTACAGTTACATGGTTCACATAAATCGGAATGAGTAAATCCCCATAAAATCAACATTGTTTTTTTTACAGGAATCTGATAATAAGTTGTCTTAAAATTGCATTGTTTCAATCTATTTTCCTTTAAATTTATCAAATCCTAATCGTTGTATGTTTGACATGATCGTATTAACAAAATTTTCATTCAATGCATTGACAAGCCTAAACTCAGAAGTCAAACCAACCCCATCTCGGAGTTTTATTTTTTCAGTACCTTAAATGCCGCTTTTAGACATTCTGTATTACTTAAAAACCTTCGTATAATTCTTTGGAATACAAATAGGATATATTTTATGAAAAGATAGAATAAGTGAGTGATTTTATTTTGTTTTCGATCGGCTAGGGAACGGAACCATCGATTTTCCCGAATTCTTGACGATGATGGCTAAGAAGATGAAGGACACAGACAGCGAAGAAGAGATCAGAGAAGCTTTCAGAGTCTTCGACAAGGATGGCAACGGTTTCATCAGGTAAATTATTTATCTTTTGGAGGGGAGATGGGATCAGGGATGCTTCCAGAGCCTTCAATGAAAATAAAAACGAACAAAAACAACCAACAAACAAAAATGATATCCTGTGACGTAGAGAGTGTGAACACAGTGTGTAGATAAAGATGGTAGGAGTGTGCTAAATTCACTATGTCGCCAATCTGTGGTATACACAGTGTGATTCCGTGATGTGGTCACAGTGTGTAACACCACTTTGGAGCAGTGCATTCAGTAATTTTCACTGAATGAGTCAAATCTGAGAAATTGTATAAAACTTCTAGAATTATAATTAACATAATATGATTGCACACGAAGCGTCATGGGCTGGGTCTCACGAAAACGTCATTAGTACAAGTTCAGCGACCTCCCATTGAAATGCGTGTATCAAGTTTAACACGCGTTTCAATGGGATGTCGCTGAACTTGTACTTATGACGGTTTCGTGAGACGCAGCCATGGTGTTGACGTACTACTGCGTCAGCGTCTTGTGCAGTCTCGACCCACCGAGTAATGGTGACATCGTACAAAAAGGGGGATTATCAAACGGAAACAAGCCTTATCAGACTTGATTAGCGTAGGTTAGAACGTAATCAGAATGATGCCTCGTATGCAGAGCCTAACACGGTTTCACTTGATTTTCGGATGATTTACTTCAACGATCGCGACTCATGATATCATTTATTTCTCAGAACTTAATTACATACTTTTGGAAAATTATTAAAGCAGGACACAATAACAATTTTGTACAAGTTTATTAAAGCAACACTTCTTGATTCAAGGTCGTTTGGAGAAGGAGAGTGTCATTGCACGATGGAATGCTAAAATGGCTTCACTCAGAATTGTAAGTGCTCCTTTTCCCCATCTTACCGTCACAGTGCTGCTGAGTTGCGCCACGTGATGACGAATCTTGGAGAAAAGCTGACAGACGATGAGGTAGATGAAATGATCAGGGAAGCAGATATTGACGGTGATGGTCAGGTCAACTATGAAGGTGAATAATATCATACAATGTAAATAAATAAGACATAAATGTATATCTTGTAGTCTCAAAACTTCCCATGTTTGGTGAGCACAAGTAATTGCAAAATGTAAATGACATGTCGTCTGCAACAATTATACCTGTGTTACGACACAATCTACACACAGAAGGGAGTCGACGTGGGGCAACAAAACAGGAAGGTTTGTTGTTTAATGGTTTTTGATAATAGGATCATTCTATTCGTTATGATTCATAATGATGTTGCTGATGTTCATTGTATTTCAAGAAATGCCAGAAACAATTTCCCTATATACACGACTAAATTAACATCGCAATATGACTATTGTCACGTGCTTGTTTTACTTCTTAATCATCCAGAATTCGTGTCTATGATGACCAGCAAGTAAAGTACCCGATAATGGAGGCGAAGAAGAGGACAATCTCCCCTTGACTACAACACCCATATTGACCGTGCAGACAACATTACGCATCCGTTGGAAAATTACAACTCGGACAACTTTACCAACAGGGTTACTCCCGTAGGACAAATACCCATTTGAACAAAACTTAGTGTTATCCAAACGATGGCTCCCGAAGGATAACTTCCAATCAGAACACTCCGAAAAATTCCTCATGTAGCATGTGTAGAACAACCCAGTTGAATAACTATCACCCCGACAAGTGATCATAGGACAGCTCCTCATCTTGGAGTTGTCCAACTACCCGTATATTTTACTGTTGCCCATAACGTTGGAATATATTTGTTACCTCTTGACATGTACCCGTAATGATCGTGATAATGTTTTTTTTCCTTGACAGATAAAGTTTATAACTTCCCAGAACTTCATTGATAAATCTAACGAGTTTATAGAGATTGATCTTTAAACTTCTGAAAAAGATATAAACGTTACTTGTCAATAATTAACAATATTATCACAATCATTACATGAAAAATGGTGAGAAAAAAATATCCCAAATTCGAGGGCAAAAGTGTATGATAGTAACCATGCGTACGCGCCTGATAGTAATTATCCCATATAAATAGTTCCCGTATTTAAGAGACAGCAATTGGTTAGAGCGTAGACAAATTACTTCCCTTAAAAAAAAAAAAAAAATAAAAACAAATATTTCTTATCAACAAAACCATTGCTACAGCATAACTTCAAACTGATTTGTTCATATTTGACCATAATCACTGTGAATTATTCAAGCCTATTTTCCTCTCCAGATTAGGATGTGGAGTCCTTACAGAAACCGGTTAAGTTCCATTGACATTTCAAAAAGTGACTACAAAGGCGGTATTAAAAGTAACTCATTGTTTACGATTCCGCTGGTAATAGATAATGCAATATTCCTATAAAATATTCTAGCCCAGGGAAACTAATGCAATGACAATGAGTAAATTCAGTGACCAAATAGATTTGTGTTATTGATGCATTTAAAATGATGTCTTTCACAACAATTCTTTCAAAACCGTTTTTTTCGAAAATTAACAATAAAAGCAAATAAAAGGTGTATACCAGGATAGGAGTAGACCTTGAATTGATACTGTAGTAGGTTATGATTATGATGCTGATTGTACTGGCGTTGATGATGTGGATCACGTTGATGTGGTGATGTTGATGATACTGGTAGTAGTGATGATGATGATGATGATGATGATGATGGTGATGATGATGATACTGGTAGTGATGGTGATGATGATGATGGTGATGATGATGATACTAGTAGTGATGATGATGATGATGATGATGATGATGATACTGGTAGTGATGATGATGATGATGATGATGATGTTGATGATACTGGTAGTGATGATGATGATGATGATGATGATGATACTGGTAGTGATGGTGATGATGATGATGGTGATGATGATGATACTAGTAGTGATGATGATGATGATGATAATGATACTGGTAGTGATGATGATGATGGTGATGATGATGATGATGATGATGATTATAGTGATGATGATGATGATGATACTGGTAGTGATGATGATGATGAAAGTGATGATGATGATGATAGTGATGATGATGATGATTATAGTGATGATGAAGATGATGATTATAGTGATGATGATGATGACGACGATGATAATGATGAAGATGATGATAGTGATGATGATGATGATGATTATAGTGATGATGACGATGATGATGATACTGGTAGTGATGATGATGATAGTTATGACGATGATGATGATGATGATGATGATGATTACGATGAAGATGATGATGATGATGATGATGGTGATAATGATGATGATAATGGTGATGATGTTGATAACATTGATGATGACGACCACAATAGTGATGATGATCATGATGACAGTGGTAGAGAAGACGGGATTGGCGGCAATGACGAATATGATTGTCTGACAAATAAAAAAAAATCTTGACTACCTTCAAGCGGGCCATAGAGTCAGCCGCCATAGTAACCAATTATTGTAAACCACATACTCATCGTTGAAATACCTCGTCAGAGGTGACTACAATATCGAGTTGTTCTCGGAGAAAAGCTGCCCATGCTTTTGAAACATTTGTGAATTTAGAGGTCTATGAGGAAAATGGCAAATAGCAAGAAATACAATTTTTCTTTCTTGTATGGTTGTTGTTGGGGGGGGGGGGGGGGGAGAAGTATTTGAACCTTGTCGGTCATATATACTGGAGAGCCCGCCATCATTGTTTGCGTGTGACGTTGGACATTCGAATAACAATGAAAGAGATCAGCGTGAGCGGACATCGCGTGGGATCTCCCTGTCTAAGATGTGTTCACACAGGATACACCGCTCTCTGATCTGGGGCATGTGTACTAGACGAAAAGTGCTTCAGAGCAAAACAAATCTTTTTTCTTGACACAAAATGGTCAGTCAGTTTGGTAAATAAGATCTTTTAATGAGTTTAAAACTCTTCCAATTGTTCTTCATTTTTTCCCCCATTTTTCCCCCCATTTTTTCCCCATTTTTTTCCATTTTGATGTCCGAGGTTCGATGCCGCCAACATCATTGAAAAGATTGAGTATAAGTTTTTTCACAAAGAAATATCGTTAACATTTCATTTTTTACTTGAAGAAACCAGAGAAAAAAAGAATGGATGACAAAATATGAATATAAATGCCTAATTGTGTCAAGAAATTTGCTTACATTTGCTTAGATAAAGGCCAAATTGTGAAATACACGGAGATAAAATACTGGATACGTGCTCATGAATATTCTACTGTGTTTCTGCAGTATTACCATATATTCGTAATAGGGACTTTTAGATTTGCGTGGACTGATACGTGTGACGTCCATTCAAGGCAGTGCATTAAAAGGACGTCGACCGTAGCAATCCACATTGTCTTCGTGCAAATCTAAAAGTCCCTATTTTTAAGTCAACATACACGTCGGCCTATATTTTCTCATCGATTTGATGCTACTTTTCATTCCACAACAAATACAGAGGGCGCGCTATACTGTAGTGAATTGACCTTAAAAGAACTTTACATTTGTAAATATTATTGTCTTGACTTTATTGTATGGCTTGAAGTCTGGCCTTTTATTCAATTGTCACCCATTTCTATAGTGACACGTGCAACATTATTAGAGTGCCACACATATTTTCTCTGGCAAGCACATTCTAAACCCTATTGTATTGGGATGTGCAGTTATTTTTGCAAGTACATTTAACACCCTATACACCAAAGCTAATTCAGCTTCATCATAATTCATGTCCTACTTCTTCGCTCGACTCTCTACTCAGTTCTAAGGCCTTATTACTTTATTGAGATTATGAGTTTCTTCTCCCTTTGTATACATGTATAGTCTTACATATTCTTTCGACGGGTACTACGGATAATTTGTCCTAACAATTAGTGGCTCACTAATTCTGGTGTCAGTTTCAACAGGTGTTGCTACGAGACAAGGTAGGAAAGAAAACACTTTCTATTTTTTTTTAGGAGACCAATTCCGTAAATGCTTATAGCAAAGAAAGAATTAAAAAAGGAACCTGACAGAGTTGGGGTGGAGCACTTATCAGAGGTGAAAAAGGTGCATTTATAAAAAAAAAAGGGGAAGGGGCACTCATCAGAACAAAAAAAGGCACTTATGAGAAAGGAAAAGTGCACTTGTCAAAGTAAAAGATTTATTTATATATTTATTTATTTATTCATAGATATTTATACAGGCACACAAGATGAAAAGTTAATCTGTTTTGCATCTTGGACCTGGTATTATAAACATCATATAAAAAGTAGTAAAAATAACAAAGTATAACAAAGTGAAATACACACTACATCATAGTAATACAAAATATGGTAGCATAATAATTCAAGGCCTGAACAAAAATGATTCTAAATATAAATGAATGCTACACATAACAATGTCAACATAAAATAGTCATATATACAAATGAAGGTTAGCTTATGCTAGGAGTCCACTGGGCCAGCGCCAGTTGGTGCCAGTTCGGGCCAAAGATTATGTGATTGGCGCGTAGTGGCTCGCTGTGGCGCCGAATTAATGTCCGCTCGGCATGTGTCGCCAAGTGGAATAAACTGGGTGCCATAATGGCGTGCGCCATATGCCACCCGGCTTGCTCCAAAATGTTGCGCCAGTTTGCGCCAGTTCGCGCCATTACACGGCCATTTGATTAAAAAATTCACCCTGTTGGCGCCATTCGCGCCAATAGGCGGCTACTTTGCGTCACTTGGTGATTAGTTTGTGCCAAAGGTCGCCAAATTGGTTTGAACTTGCCGCCGCTTGGCGCTACTTGCCGACTATATAAATACCGGCCATCGGCTACCAAACAACAACAACAACATACATGGTTTAGACCCTCCTCAGCTGCTGTATGAACAACATCTCTACTAAATATTTACAATTTTGATATGGCTGAGGCTTTTGATAATGTTGGAGTGATGATGCTGCTCCGTCAGAAGATGATGAGAGATGCTGAGGTGGCCACTGCCTATCAAATTATATGCTGGCCAATCCTGAAGAAGAAGAGCCTCCTAAGAAGAAAAGGAAGCACAACTGGTGGTTTAGACCCATGCTTCACCCACAGTTGAGGGCCGAACGTGGACAGTACACTCTTAGAAAAAAGGGTGCAAAAAAGGGTGCAAAATAAGAGTCTGCACCCTTTACATAAAAATGAACCCTATTGAAGGAAAAGGGGTTAAAAAAAGGGTACAATATAAGATTTTGCACCCTTCCCACAAAAATGAACCCTATCGACCAAAAAAGGGTGCAAAATAAAATTTTGCATATTGCATGCATATTCATGATTACTTTCCACGTGTTCTCTTAATAATACATTTATCATGATTTGTTAAGCAAATTATGACAATGCACATCAATTTTGTGTTTTGTATTTTCCTTTGGCAATCATTAACCAATAGATTATATTGTCTGATCATGTTACAATTACATTCACGTTTTAGCAATAGATATATTGATTATATGATTACTAACCAAGAAACATCATGCATGTTTAATATGTATTTGTGTACGAGCAAATTTTACCAGTATTCCTCGATGATGGGTGCAGGATTGCACCTTTTAAAGGGTGCAGGACTGAACC